TGACCTTTAACGTTCTGAGGATGTTGCTTAGAGAACGCAAACGGAACGTGAGGGACGCTCCCAATGCAACATCCTGCAAATGGTTTAAGAGCATTTCCTAGAACTGATTTACTTACTTTGTCTTGTCTTAATTATATCATATTTTACTTGCGGCTGCTCTTGTTTTAGTCGATTTATTGCTTCTTCTTCTTCTTCTTCTTTAGAACTTATATGCTCTAATTATTAATGTTTGTTGTGGTTTTGCACACGTGGTCTTTTAGCATTTATGTTCATGTGCCCACATCTTTTATTTTCCTACTCCTTCATGCTTTACTGTGCTCCAAGTCTAAATAAAGACTGAATGAACGAGTCTCAGGTGTTCTCAGGTGCAGGCTACATACGTACAAGATCAGCTGCAGTGAAATAAAGAAGAGAGGAGTGGAGGCCAGGCAGGACTCAGCTGCCTCACTGTACCTGCTGCAGACTGCCCACCCTGCTGGTAACCTCCTGGAGGTTCTTCTTCTTGCGGTCCGTCTCACATTGGAGCACTTCGATTCTCTTTTCCGCTGACTCACTCTCCTTCCACAGAGTATAGTTCTCCAGCAGCAGAGACTCATACTTCTCCTGCACCTCACTGCGCTCAGCCTTCAGCTTCTTGCCGGCACGCTCCTTCGGCTGGCTGCTGCTGGAGGAAATCAAACGGTCAGATCAGCGTGAAAACGTTCTCCTGCAGATGTTGCCGTCAGTGTAGCTGGCTTTACGGTTTCTTCCTCATCAGTTCTTGTGCCTCGAGCCACTCCAGTCTGGCGGCTGCACGTTCCTTCTCCTTGGCGTCCAGCTGCTTCTGTGCACTCTGGATGTCGGACTGATACTGAGACATCTGCTGCTGCTGCTGCTCTAGCTTCACCTCTGAGGGGAAGAACCGAGGAGAGGATAGGAGAGCAGAGGAGGCTTCACTCAGTGTTTCTGACAGTGTCTCACACAAAGTCCTCTGAAATAATACAAAATCTTTTGTGTGCAGTAAGAAATCCCGTTTCTTTTCTCTGCAGAGGCAATTAACTCAGATCTGTTGTCAGTAATTGAGAGACCTTGATAATGTGTGGTTGAGAGTTCGACTCTCAACCACAGCGTCGGGCTTCAGGAGCTGAGTTCTGAACTACGAGGTGAGATCAGTGGGTCAGCAGGTGTGTTGAGCCTAAAGTCAGAGCTTTCTGTGCTACGAAGGCGGTCCTCTTTCAACCTGCTAGACCACCATACTAATAAGACCTAAGTCACCTTCATGACATCGGTGATCTCTGACTGAGGCTTGAGTGGCTGTCAAGCCAACTTACACAAAGAAAGTCTGGATGTGTAGAACTCGCTTCATAGTTCAGTTCTCTGCTCCAACAATCTGATGATCATGAAACAGAAGCCTGAAGCATCTGGACTCTGCTCCGAGTACATAAAGTACTCTGTGTGTGTGTTCTGTTGCTGCGGTAGTGGTCTGGAAGGTGAAGGACGGTGCAGCGTTGGACTCTAAAGTAAACCATACTGGACAACGTCTATTGATATTTGATGGTTCTGACCCTTTTAGTAGAAACACACAGATGTTTCACATGTGTCATTGGTCCCATATGAACCAGCCTGGTGCTCTTGGAGCTCACTTAGTTACAGTGACAAAAAACTAAATCAAAATAAAACCAACAGACGCCTGAGGACACTGGTTGCTGAAGTGCAATAGCCCCAGCCTGCACTGTGTCCACATCCTACCTCATGTTAAATAACTGCTCTTTTACTGTATATTAGGGGTGTAACAATACACATATTCGAACCGAACCGTTCGGTCCAGGCCCTTTCGGTTCGGTACAGATGTGTACAGCGGTACGAAAGTTTTAAGACCATTAAGAATGGCCAATGTACAGAACTGTTTCAGTGGTGAAACTTTAAATCTCACGGTGCCCACAGGTGGACCTTCTCCGGCTCACAGTTGCGCAGTCTTGCGGAGCTAAAAGCAAGCAGGAGTTTCCAGTGGACCACAGGCTGTGACGGACCGTTTATTCTCCTGTCGGCGCTTCCTGTGTGGCTAGAGAATGGGATGGCTAATGCTAACAACAACAACAAGCCAGAGCTGGAAGACACTGGTGTCATTAAAATCACCCGTTTGGGATCACTTTGGTTTCCTGGTGAAGTCCGAAAAAGGAGAAAAACAAGTGGACAAGATGAAAGCCGTATGTCCACACTGTGCAGCGGTTCTCAGCTATGCAACAAGTCAGACTTACACACTCATTTGAAAAGGCAGCATCCCAGCGTAACTATCTCCGCTGCTCCTGACATCATTTCATCAAGCCCTGTCTAGCAATTCAGAACGAGCGAAGGCAATAACCAAGTCCACTGGTGTTTTCATAGCATCAGGTCTACGACCATACTCGGAGTTTGAAACTTATGATGAAAGTGAGTTTACATTAACTTTACATTGTTGCTGTGCTCTTTGCTACAGATAAATGACTATCATGTGTATTTTTTTTTAGCCTACTAGTATTTTAGTATATCTATGCTGCTAAATAAGAGCCTAACTAAATGTTATTCGTTTTTTAAGCAATTATATTAAAATATCTTTTGTATTTTAGGCTATAGAGCCCCGTTATGAAGTTCCCTCTCATCCACACTTCAGCCAGAAAGTCATACCAGCTCTGTATGAAGAAACCACCAATGTTCACATCTCTTTTCCTGAAATGAATGACGTTTCGGGACTTTCTAGATAAACAACAGCTCATAGTAAGAAGGCTTCACGGTGATGTTAGCTGTAGCGACACTTTGGAACAAACACCTCTTAGCTGCCTCACCCTGCATCTTGCACTCGGACTCAAGTTTGTCCACCTCCTCCTGCAGCTCCTGTTTCTGCCGGCTGAGCAGCAGCTCCAGATCCTGCAGGCTCTGTTTGTCGGTCTGCCGCTGAACCTCCAGCTGCTCAGTCAGCTCGGCCACCTCCCTGTCCAAGGCAGCCGAGGCGTGTTGCAGGTACTCGCATATGTCCTTCTTGTCCTCCCGCACAGCGCTGATCTGCTGGACGAGCTTTTTGTTCTGTTTGGTCAGTTGGTCGCATTTCAGCTGACAACTGCAGGATGAAGACGAAATATAAGGTAACAAGGAAGAATCTACAGAGAAATACTGAATGAAACTCAACAAGGAGACATCATGACATGAGCCCAGCTCTGGCTGCTCTCCACTGACTTCCTGTTGGTGTCAGAGTGGATTGTAGAGATTTAATTTTAAGGTTTGCAGCTGTACATCCTCAGATGGGACCATATTCTAAGGTCCAGACTTAAATCTAAAGAGGTTCTTTCATCTCAAGTCACTGGGTTCCTTCTGCTCGACCATCTCTGATTTGCATGACACTTTTTTTTTTCTTTTCTTTTTAATCATAAACCGTGGATATTTAAATCTGATAAACCAAGATCAATACATATTCTGGTATATTTTCAATTGTCACCTCGTGGTTGAACTTAATTTTCCATTTGGGTCATTCAGTCTCAAATCAGTTCAATTTCTGCTCAACCATCTCTGATTTTCAGGAAATGTTTAGAGCATAAAATTGCAGATATTTGGGAACAACATATAAAGGATTTGTTTTTTCCCCCCACACATTTAAATTTGAGGCTCTTTGAACCACAACATCTCAGGAACGACTAAAGATAAAAACCTGAAATTTCCACTGTTATTTCTCATCGCTGATTCTGAATCTTTAATGTTGGATGAATCGATCAAATAATCTATATAGAATAAAGAAAACTTAAGCAGTCGTGGAAAAACCTCATCTTTAAGCTCATATTAGCAAAATAATCAGTAACGCAGAAGTCAACTAGTGATATTTTCTGAACCGTGTGTAGCTGCAGGTCACAATAACACAAAACTACACATGTAGAATACTTGAGATGGTTCTTAAGTCAAATCTACATCGGCCTTACCTTTAATATTTAAATTATTGGGATAATCTGTGTTCAACAAGGCTGCAGGGTGTTTGCCTGAATACTATAAATCATACTGTACAGTCTTAACCTCAGTATTTTAACTTGTTTGGTCAATTCAGTGCTGTTTTTTTTTTATTATTATTATTACTGTAAACCACTTTTGCTCAACAGCTGTTCCTATAAATGTTCTGTATAATTAATTAACTTGATCCACAAACTACTTCTTCACCAAACTATCCATGTTCATTCTGTGTGTTTTCGCTTCAGGTTTTAACAGAGCGTGTTCGTTTGACTATCATTTACAGCCAGATTTACACAACATTTTATTGCCAAAAATAGATTTTTTTCTGCTTGTTGACAGTATTTTCTGATTGATGGAGTAGCAGCTAATGTTATGAGCACACTTCCTTCCTACTGACAGTCTACGCTGAGCTGTAGCACATTTAACCCATTTAACACGTTGAATGTGACAAATGTGTTGAATTTTGTCTGATTAAAACAGATTCATGTCAGTTAGTTTGAACACAAGGTAACAAGTCAACTGACGTTAGCTAATGCTAGCTGATGTTAGCCAGCATTAGCTGTATTAGCCATCAGTAGCTATATTAGCCCACATTGCTAATGTTAACATCACTACGGCTGATTTTAAGGACGAAAAACTGCCACAGACATCTACATTTTTAACCTGTAATTACATTTAT